CGCAGGGATTCGAACCGCCGACCTTTCGATCGGCAAGTCCTAGGTGCTGAGGCTTTAACCCACAGCGCCACCTGCGTCCCAGAGACTACCTCACACTGCGTTTAAAACCAAAATCGCATGGATAGAAACTGTTTCTCAGGCAGCTAGTCCTACCTAGTCTTTATAACTCTGTACCTTCTTCCAGAAGGCCGAAGCTGAAAGAGATCATTTTCGGGGTCCGCACTATCCTACTCTATCTCTGCAGCTGTCTTATGACACCTGGAAGCATAGATTTGATCCAAGGTGGGAAGAGTGCACCCAATTATTCTCTCCGCAGTTTTTACAACCTTGGACAGCATTGTTTTTTCCCTGACCGTGCAGCTCCCAAACCACACACACAGACCATAAGTTAATAAACTCAACAGCACAATGGTAGAATGCCATCAACAGGTCCTTTGAGAAATTATTTTTCCAGAGGATTCTCAGAAAATATAACCTCAGAAAATGATTTTGGGGGGGGGGGTGACTTTTCTTCCGCATTTGAAAAAGGTTCTGTATGTTATTTTTACACCTGGAACTCCTTTATTATACCTGTATTATTTTTACAACTGGAACTCTCTGGAACTCTGTCAGCTAGAGGTGCTCTTAATCAGTCATATCAGTGTCCCTCTACCTCCATTTTACTCAAACTTCTTCCATTGAAGGAAAGGATAGTGGAAGTGAGGCGAATGGCTGTTTTGAACCTCTCTTTCTTCCATTCCTTAGCTGTGATATAGGATGTGGTCTTCAAATATTCCATAGTGCCTCCACACAACGTATTTCACTCCTGATTGGGATGCGGGTAGCACTGTGGTCTAAACCACCAAACCTCTTGGACTTGCAGATTGGAAGGTTCTAATCGGCAGCTCTAATCCACATGATGGGGTGAGCTCCCGTTGCTCTGTCCCAGCTTCCGCCAACCTAGCAGTTCGAAAGCACACTAGTGCAAGTAGATAAATAGGTACCACTGTGGTGGGAAGGTAAATGGTGTTTCCGTGGACTCTGGCTTCCATCACGGTGTTCCATTGCACCAGAAGCAGTTTAGTCATGATGGCCACATAACCCAGAAAGCTGTCTGCAGACAAACACCAGCTCCCTTGGCCTGAAGCAAGATGAGTGCCGCACCCCATAGTCACCTTTGGCTAGACTTAACCGTCCAGGGGTACTTTACCTTTACCTATTTGTATGGTGGTGATGCTCCTGCTGTGAGCGACCGTGTCCAATCCTGGGCACCACAATTTAAGAAGAATGTTGACAAGCTGGAACGTGTGCAGAGGAGGGCAACCAAGATGATCAAGGGTCTGCAAACTAAGGTTTATGAGGAGCACTTGAAGGAGCTGGGTATGTTTAACCTGGAACAGAGGGGACTGAAAGGAGATGTGATAGCCATCTTCAAATATCTTAAGGGCTGTCACCTGGAGGAGGGAGCATGCTTGTTTTCTCCTGCTCTGGAGGGTGGGACTTGAACCAATGGCTTCCAGTTGCAAGAAAGGAGATTCTGACTAAACATTTGGAAATACTCTCTGACAGTAAGAGCTGTTCAGCAGTAGAACAGACTCCCGTGATTCTCCCCCCCCCCATATTTTATTTTCAATAATTTAACAATTTAACATCCAAATTAATTACTTATTCATCCCTTCTAAACTTCCCCCCACCCCTGGTTTCCAAATTCCGCCTTGTTACCTTACACATCTTTAGTTTTCCATTCAGTTACAAGTCAATTGATAACCCTAATTCACATTAATTCATAGATACTATATCAATCCTGCTAATGTTTTTACAGTGGACCTTAAGATATTCTATAAATTTAATCCAGTCTTGTATAAACTTTTTTTCATCTTGGTCCCAGATTTTCGCTGCCATATTTGCCATTTCAGCATAGTCTATCATCTTAGTTATCCATTTCTCCTTCGTTGGTTGCAAAAATATTGCAAGGGAGGGGAGCTTCCAGCTCACTTGTTGTTGTTTAGTCATTTAGTTGTGTCCGACTCTTCGTGACCCCCTGGACCAGAGCATGCAGGCACTCCTGTCTTCCACTGCCTCCCGCAGTTTGGTCAAACTCATGCTGGTAGCTTCGAGAACACTGTCCAACCATCTCGTCCTCTGTCGTCCCCTTCTCCTTGTGCCCTCCATCTTTCCCAACATCAGGGTCTTTTCCAGGGAGTCTTCTCTTCTCATGAGGTGGCCAAAGTATTGGAGCCTCCGCTTCAGGATCTGTCCTTCCAGTGAGCACTCAGGGCTGATTTCCTTAAGAATGGATAGGAGATGTAGGCAGTGTTGGTGTCAGATTGGCATTCAATTCACTCTCGGTCCCCTCCCCAGAATGGGGAGGCTGCTCATTGGCAATTCCATTTGGAAAATTGGTTCTGATCCTCTCTCCAGGGTGGTTTTATAGAATAGCACCGTGTGATTGTTTTTCAACCCCTTTGCCTTTATGCTCTGGTATCTCGCAGGGTACCATCTGTCTCTAATGCTATTTAACTTCTATATGAAGCAGCAGTGAATGCCAGATTTGGGGCGAGATGTTGCCAGCATCCTGATGATGTTCAGCTCTTTTACTCTTTGATATCCGAATTGGGAGAACCCATGGAAGCCCTGAACTGGTGTCTGGATGGGCTGGATGTGGGCCAATGAAGTGACTTTAAGTCCTGGTAAGATGGAGGCACAGTCGGTGGATGGTTCTTGAGTCTACATAATTTGTCAACTGCTACGGATGGGATTGTACTCCCCCTGAAATAACAGGTTCATAGTCTGGGGCTGTATGCAACTTGGGATCTGGATACATGAAAGATCATCTCATACAGGCTGGATCTAGACACATCAAAGAAGCATTTCAGTTTAAAGAGTTCTAAATTTAAACAGGGAAAACAGGTAGAGAAAAATGGGATTTCACGTCAGCATGTAGCAGTCAAACGAAGACAGACCAAGTGTTCAAGGAAATGCCTTTATTTTAGCTGCAGCTAGACCCCAGTCCTAAACAGACTGGAGTACTGATCTCCATTCAGATCAAACTTATACTGTATAGGTTTTTCAGAAAGTGAATCAGCATGCCATATGGACATATTGTATTGCAGTCTGACATGATTTATGAAGCAGGACGTTCAGTTAGCCAAGAAAATGAGATGATGTATTTTCTATCTGCCTTGATTCTACTTCCTTGATACGGCACTTCAAACAACACAAACAGGCTGGATATGTCAATTACTGTCCTGATTAAAGCATTCCAAAGCTGAGATACTGTTTGGCAAGCAATCATAAAAAAAATCATACAAATCCTCATTAATCACTTTCCTCTAGTGTTCTTACAAACACCCTATGTTGCTTCCTTATTGCTAAACCTTGCCAACTGCTGAGTCTTCAGCCAGTCAGTCCAGTCAAAGTAAACTTTCCACCCCTTCGTGAACTGTAGGCTTTGCAGAGAGAAAGTCTCTCCTTTTTACAGGCTCCAGGCTTGGGGTTCATTTTGCAAACAGGCTTGTTAGTTTTCTACACAAAGTTGGGGTTCATAATAAATTCTGTTCACTCCTTCCCTCAGTGGCACAATGTTATATTGCACATACAATGCATAAAAATTGCTTTTTCTTTACTGGTCCGAGTCCCTAGTTTATCACTGTCCTTCAGGTGAGGGTCTCCTGCAGATACCATCTAATCAGGAGGCCCACTCCATACAATGGAGGTATGGGACCTTTAGTGTTGTGGCACCTATCCTTTGGACAGGGGTCACCCTTGTTGTCTTTTCAGTGCCTGCTGAAGACCTTCCTCTTTTAAGAATCTTTTAAGTGGAGCTGTTTCTCAGTCTGCATGTGTGTTGGAATGTTAAATAAGATTCTTATTGTTTTCTGCTTGCTGTTTGCAGATCTGAGTTCCTTTGGAGGAAGAGTGGTATATAAATGTAGTAATATATGATTAAAAATAATCTGTCATTAAATTTATTGTGATAAAGGGTTTCAAGAGAAAAATCTTACAGGCTTGAAATCATCAGGGTAACAGATGCAGGTTTGGAAACCAATGAGAGGCAAGATCAGGGAATCTGTGGGAAGTAGAAAAGAGGCACATATGTAGAGGTGTGCAGCATGGTAAAAGATAGGCCATATTGTGCCACGTGCAAGTCTTCAAACACATGTAGGAGGATGATAGAGAACAGCTGAGTCTTAGAGTAGTATTGCAGCATAACCTACTTGTTGTTGTTGTTTAGTCATTTAGTTGTGTCCGACTCTTCGTCACCCCATGGACCAGAGCACGCCAGGCACTCCTGTCTTCCACTGCCTCCCGCAGTTTGGTCAAACTCATGTTTGTAGCTTCGAGAACACTGTTCAACCATCTCGTCCTCTGTCGTCCCATTCTCCTTGTGCCCTCCATCTTTCCCAGCACCAGGGTCTTTTCCAGGGAGTCTTCTCTTTTCATGAGGTGGCCAAAGCTTCAGGATCTGTCCTTCCAGTGAGCACTCAGGGCTGATTTCCTTAAGAATGGATAGGTTTGATCTTCTTGCAGTCCATGGGACTCTCAAGAGTCTCCTCCAGCATAACTAGCGACGGCACATCTGTGCACGCACGAGTCGCTTTTTGCCGCTTCTGCGCATGCGCATGACGTCATTTTGAGCTGTTTTAGCACCACACTAGCCAAATTTCTAATTGCAATTCATATTAATCAGACTTACTGATGTGTTATCTGAGTGACACATATAAGAATGATTATAGTGTTTGACTGTAGCACATGACTTGGGATCACATTTCAAGGCTACTTGGATATGGTGTCAGAACACATTCCTTTTTAATAAGATGGTATATAAAGAGAGGGAAATATTGTTTTCTCTGAGGAAAGCAAGAACTCCTTAGAGAAAGAGAGTTGAACCTAACCAGGCATCCTAAAAAGTATCAAAGAGAAAGAGAAAGCAAGAGAAGGATGGAAATAGCGGCATCTTTTATTGTTCTGCTGGTGGTTCTTCTGATTCTGCACTTCCTGAAACAGCTCTGGTCAAATAGGCACTATCCTCCTGGACCTCTCCAGCTTCCTCTCATTGGAGGCATATGGCGGACTGGGCTTAAGCTTCATACCCATACTTTCATTAAGGTACGGTACTTATTTCTTTTTTATAATAATTTTTATTAGTTTTACATATAAACACCTTGTGTAACCTCATATCCTCTTATTAAATCTTTTTGGCTCAACTTAACCTAACAACTTCCTTCCCTCCTTGTGGTTTACAAACTTAAATTTTGCTTCTTTGCGTTTCACTTCTTTTCCTATTCTTGTTAAATCATTACCTGAAATCATATATTACTCAACCTGAATAGATAGCAATTTCACCTTACGGATCTTCAGATAACTCTGTGTACTGCGTGCTGTGAAGTTAATACTTTAACAGGGAGAAATGTAAAGTATTGCACTTGGGCAAAAAAAATGAGAGGCACAAATACAAGATGGGGGACACCTGGCTTGAGAGCAGTACATGTGAAAAGGATCTAGGAGTCTTGGTTGACCACAAACTTGACATGAGCCAACAGTGTGACACGGCAGCTAAAAAAGCCAATGCAATTCTGGGCTGCATCAATAGGAGTATAGCATCTAGATCAAGGGAAGTAATAGTGCCACTGTATTCTGCTCTGGTCAGACCTCGCCTGGAGTACTGTGTCCAGTTCTGGGCACCACAGTTCAAGAGGGACACTGACAAACTGGAACATGTCCAGAGGAGGGCAACCAAAATGGTCAAAGGCCTGGAAACGATGCCTTATGAGGAACGGCTAAGGGAGCTGGGCATGTTTAGCCTGGAGAAGAGGAGGTTAAGGGGTGATATGATAGCCATGTTCAAATATATAAAAGGATGTCATATAGAGGAGGGAGAAAGGTTGTTTTCTGCTGCTCCAGAGAAGCGGACACGGAGCAATGGATCCAAACTACAAGAAAGAAGATTCCACCTAAACATTAGGAAGAATTTCCTGACAGTAAGAGCTGTTTGACAGTGGAATTTGCTGCCAAGGAGTGTGGTGGAGTCTCCTTCTTTGGAGGTCTTTAAGCAGAGGCTTGACAACCATATGTCAGGAGTGCTCTGATGCTGTTTCCTGCTTGGCAGGGGGTTGGATTCGATGGCCCTTGTGGTCTATTCCAACTCTATGATTCTATGATTCTATGATTCATTCCATAACTTCTCCCAATCTTCTAACTGTATATTATGCCCAATATCTTTAGTCCAATGTATCATTACCAATTTTACCTTGTCACCTTTAGTATGCCATTCCAATAATAATACATTTTCGACAGTATTTTTTCTTATCATTCAATAAATCTATCTCAAATCTAGATCTTGTTGTTTCAAAACCATTTCCCTTTTTATCCTCTTTAAACACTTCATTTATCTGACGATAATGCAACCAATCCCTCAATAATTCTTTTATTTCCCCAATATTTTTTTTAGTTTTAGCTGATTTCCCTCCTCCATACTAAATCTCTGTAGGTGGCCCATTTTTCTTCCATATTTAACTTTTTAACCGTTAGCGCTTGCAATGGTGAATGCCACTACAGAGTTTTACATTCTAATAAGCTTTTATATCTCTTCCACACCTCATATATTCTTGGTTTTTCCCTTGCCAAATAAATTGTGTTATAACTTTTTGCCATTCTTTAAAATAACTTAACCCACTTATTACTGGGATTGTTTGAAATAAAAATAACCATTTTGGGTAGCAGATTCATCTTTACCGCTGATATTCTTCCCCAAAATGATAGCTTCATCCTTCCCCACACTTCTAGATCTCTTTCAATTCCATTCCATATAGGTGTCTAATTGTCTTTAAACAAGTTTACATTTTTTTGCTGTTAGCCATACTCTGAAATATTTTACCTTTTTTACCTCCGCTATCCCTATTTTCTGTTGCAACTCATCTTTCAAATGCTCATCCATATTTTTAACAAGCATCTTCCTTTGGGTTTTGTTAAGTTTAAAATCTGCTACTTGTCCAAATTGTTCAATCCTGTCCAGTGCTTCCGATGCACTGGATAATGGTTCTTCTCCCATTAAGACTAAGTCGTCAGCAAAGGCTTTTAAATTCTTTTCTTTTCGTCCAACTCTAATTCCTTTTACCTTTTCAGCTTTTTAAATATTTTTCAACAGGACCTCCAAGACCATTATAAACAGTAATGGTGATAATGGGCACCCCTGTCTTGTACCCTTTGTAATTTCAAAGTTATCTGTTAGCACATTATTTACTATTAAGCTAGCTTCTTGTTCTGAGTATATAGCTCTAATCCCTTTTATGAAACATTGACCAACATCCATGAATTCCATTTTTTTCTTCATAAAAGTCAATGAAATATTGTCAAAGGCCTTCTCTGCATAGATGATAAGCCGCTTGCTTATCATTCCTGGTCCCCAGATATTCTATTATATCAACTATACTTCTTACATTATCATTCATCTGCAAACCGGGGAGAAAGCCCACTTTATACCCAGAGTGGCTGGGGAAACTCAGCCAGATGGGCAGGGTATAAATAATAAATTATTATTATTATGTATCATATCTTTCAAAATTCTTTCCAATCTGTTCGCAAGTATACTTGCGAACATTTTATAATCATTATTCAGGGGTCAGCAAACTTTTTCAGCAGGGAGCTGGTCTACTGTCCCTCAGACCTTGTGGGGGCCGGACTGTATTTTTTTGGGGGGGAAATGAACGAATTCCTACGCCCCACAAATAACCCAGAGATGCATTTTAAGTAAAAGGATACATTCTACTCATGTAAAAACACGCTGGTTCCTGGACCATCTGTGGGCCGGATTTAGATGGCGATTGGGCGGGATTGGGCTCAGGGGCCTTAGTTTGCCTACCCATGTCATTATTTAACAACGAAATCAGCCTATAATTTTTAACCTGAAATAAATCTGCATCTTGTTTTGGGATCAATGTAATATATGCTTCCTTCCATGACGATGGAATCTTTCCTTTATTCAAAATGTTATCCATCACATCCTTTAATGGTATTAACATTTGTTCACCTAGTTTTTTTTATAGTATTTTGCTGTAAATCCATCTGGTCCGGGTGCCTTTCCAATTTTTAACCCTTTTATTGCTGTCTGCACTTCCTCTAACATTATTAGTTCATTCAGTTGGTCTTTTTGGTCTTTCGGAATTTTCTTCACATTCTCTTGCTTTAAATATTCATCAATTCCATCTACATTTTCTTTTCCAGTTTTATATAATTATTTATAAAAACTTAGAATTTTTTTCCTAATCTCCTTCAGATTTTCTGTTATTTTCTCATCAATTTTAATCTTCTTATGCTTTGACCCTTATAATTGCCACGCTAATAATTTCCCAGGTTTATTTGCAAATTCAAAATTTCTTTGTCTCATCATTTTTATTTTCCATTCCACTTCTTGATTAATTAACATTGAAAATTGTGTTTGTAACATCTTAATATTTTCTTTATTTTGTGTATTTACTGGCTTTTTAATTAATAACCTTTCATTTTCTATTATATGATTTAATAATTCCACTTTTTCCTTTTATCTTTTTTCTGAAAGCTATTTTGTTGTATAAAGAAACCTCTTATTACTGCCTTAGTCTTTTAGGGTCTTTTGTGCTTTTTCAAAAATTTTCTCATTTTCTAATAGTCCATCATTCATCCTCCAACTAAATGATGAATTATCTGTCCCTCTTAGCTCCATTAAGATTGAATTATGATCCAAAAGAGTTTTTGGCAAAATCTCTACTTTTACCGTCCTTGATGCTAGCTCGCTGGATGGCCAAATGTAATTTATTCTTCCTGCAGATTGATTTGGTTCTGAGAAAAAAAGTAAATTGTCTGTCCAATGGGCGTTTCAACCTCCAAATGTCTATTAAATTATAACTTTCTACTAAAGAGAAGAAAGTTTTGGGTAGTTTCCCTTCCTTAGAGTCTGAAGACCCTCATATTTACAGGACTGCCTCTCCTGGTATGACACACAGAAGACCTTAAGGTCCATGAATAACCATAGTTTAGAGGTCCCGGGCCCTAAGGAAGTCAGACTATCCTCCACCAGGGCCAGGGCCTTTTCAGTGATGGCTGAGACCTGGTGGAATGAGACTAGAGCCCTCCCATGAGACTAGAGCCCTTCAGGTTTTAACCTGCTTCCGCCTGGCCTTTAATTTAATTTGGCCTGATATTTTATTTTCCTTCCCTTCTCTCCCCCTCCCCTTTTATGAAGATTACCCGCTCTGAGGCCCCACAGCTAATTCTCCCCTGACCTCCTCGCTGGCCCAAGTAGGACCAATTCAGCCAGCTAGCCCTGCTGATTACCTAATGCTTGTTTCGCCTAAATTGATTTCTGAATTTTGAATTTTATTGTTATTCATGTTTTTATACTGTATTTTATGCTGCTTTTACAATTAAGTGTTTTAAATTTGTTATTAACCGCCCTGAGCCCAGTTTTTGAACTGGGAAGGGCGGGGTATAAATAAAAAAATATTATTATTCTATTATTTTCTTATTGTTCTATCAATGTCCAGAGAAACTACTCAATTTAAGTCCCCCATGATAATAATTCTTTGGTCTATATCTTCAGGTAGTTTTTCCTCCAATAATTTGTGGAAATCTGATTTCTTTTCATTTGGTTCGTAAATTCCGACTATTATTATTTTTTCGCCTTGTGATATCACTTATCCTGCAATCATGCTTTCTTCCTCATCCTTGAAGACCTGCTGTGCCTCATGTCAATTTTTAATATATAGAACCACACCCCTTTTTTACTTTTATCTGATGATATAAATTCTTTGCCCAATCTTTCGTTAATCAAAATTCTCCTGTTTTCTTGCGACATGTGTTTTCTGTAAATATATGTCCAAATTTCCCTTTATTAAGATTTGTTCAATTTTGTTTCTTTTTACTTTGTTATTTAGTTCATTCACATTCCAAGTCAATAATTTCAGATTCATTTCCAGTCCTAATTAAATAATACCATATTTTCATACTGTTTATTAAGACTGTTCTTTCTTTCTTTCTTTCTTTCTTTCTTTCTTTCTTTCTTTCTTTCTTTCTTTCTTTCTTCCTTCCTTCCTTCCTTCCTTCCTTCCTTCCTTCCTTCCTTCCTTCCTTCC